AATCGCGCCCGCTTTCCCCGTCTTCGGAGGTATATTCAAAGGAGGTCTGGCTTAAATGAGGTTGTCGTTCACCAGAAGAAGACCGAGTAACGTCAGATGGAGAGGGTGAGCTGGGTCGATCATGGTAAAGAGGGACTTGACGTGCAAGAGCCCTCAGAGGAGTGAAAATCGACATATCGATAGGAGAAGCACAGGCACAAAAGGATGTCGATGTGCTTTCTCAGCAACAGTCGTTTTTCGTCTTATACACAAGGATTACAACGGTTCCCGCTGATATCGCGATCAACTGATAGCTCCCGGGAATAGAAATTGCAGAAGGCGCACCAGGAAAGCCGCAACTGGGATTGAATGAAATCTACGCTGGAGCTGACCTTCCACCACATAAACGCCCATTCATATACGCATCAAGTAAAGGCAGACACTGAGTTCATCAGATTTCCTGAGGCGTGGTCAGGGATATAGAACTACCAATCGAAATTTTAGCCCAAACTATGCGCGATGCATCGACTTCGGCGACAACCCTGCGGTGGATGTGAATCTTGATAACCAATTCAATGTTAGCAAACGCTGCCTGTCGTCTGATCATGACTTCGAGCGCTGAGAAGTATGCGCTCATCCTAAAATAAATGGATCTATCTCTTCTATGATAATAACTCGAGGCGGCGCCTATATGACTCGTGTTGTTCTTCTGACCACTGTAAGACCACGCTTTAGACCACCCATCCGATAAGGGTGACTCACTAATCCTGATCATGTATGCATCATATTGAGCTTTACGGTCCACCATCCACGGAAACTTGAGTGATGTGCGTGCGCGTCTAAGTATAGAGTTCATAAGCTTCCAATTAAAAACTGTTCTGTTGACGATGATGTCAAGGATCTCGACCTCGCCGATTGTGGATTCTCTGCTATTAGTTCGAGCCGAGAGGCACGGCACCCTAGATGCGAAGGATAGTGGTTCGGTGATGTGTTGGCGGTATTCTCTTCCAGAAGTTTAATCTCGGAAGGACCATGCTTTAGGTGCGTGTGATCAATTCACTGATCCCCATGCAGATCTCAAGGACCGAGTCCTATCGTCGGATGGACATGGAAACGGGCCAAACTACATCCACATACTTGACTGGGATTTCGCTTTAAGTTCAAAGGATCAGGAGACATGGAATGTCTGCCGGCTGAAGACGAAACCACTGCATGTATAAAAGGACGAGCAATCGATGGTTGGGTCGGACCGAACTAATCTGCAAATGCCCATCGCTTGTGGATCAACCCGAACTTATTAACGAAATGTATTTGATAACTTACTATTTGATACCGTAACAGATGCAGATCATGTGGCAGAGGTATAGCACGGCGCAGTACAGGTTATACAGCAACATCGTCCAATCGAGTCATATTTAGCACCCCCTTACCAAATCCACCCGCAAGCACTTTAAACCCGTTATCTTGCACATCTGCGAGGAATAGCTCGTGTTGATCTGCCATCCTCTCGTTATTCCTCCGAATCTCCTGGATGATCCCATGTTGGCGTACGCAAAGCGGGCATTCTGTCTCGTGGTCCAGAAGACATCTATATGAAATGTACATTAGAACTGACATCACGAGATAGCCAGAAGAGGTGAAAGGAATAATTCGGACAGTTAACAAGTAAGCGAAATACGTACCGCTGGTGATACGAGTGGTTGCACATGAAATGGACGCTGGGGAGATCGAGCTGCCCGCTGCACTGAGAACAGCGCGTCACACTAAACACCTTTGCATGCATGGGGTCCTCTAGTTCAGCCACTTGCTTCAACTTCGCATTCGTTTCTAGCTGGTATGAGTTGATCAGTTGCTGGTCCTATCACGCGAAAAATCATCAGCGTGAAAATGAGAGAGAAATGTAAAGAAATCACAGTTTGCACTTCTTCCCTTGCCTCCTTGATGCGTCCCATCAGCCAGTCCTTAACAAGGCCTACGCTGGCTACTCCATTCCTACTCAATATCTGGACTACACCAAGCGGAGGTATTATCCGCTCCTTCTCGATGTGTTCCAAAATCTTCTCTACGTCCGCCTGGTGCCGCGTGAGCAGCTCCGGCGTGCTTGTTAAGAAGCGCAGCACCAGCTCATAGAGATGCGGGTGTGTTGGGCCATATCGTACGAGGGCCTGCACGACCTCTGCTGATGCAGAAGACTCGGAGGGCGATGTGTTGTGCTTGTCCATCCAAAACCGTAGAATGTCTTCATACATACCTAGCTTCTCCCAAAGTATGACTAGACCTCGAGTATAGCTGTAGCTGCTGCAAAGAATCAATGCATGTGTTTTATCGCACGGTAAAGTGTCGCTCGTCAGAACTTTGAGTGCCTTTTCCTGTTGTTCTGGAGAGCCTCCGTCAAGGTAGAGCTCAAGCAACGTATTCCAAACTGCTGCTTGATTGTGCTTCTCTAGGTCTTCGTCTTTGTCCAGACTGGTATCTAGAAGGGAAGATGGGAGAGAGGAAAGTGATTGTCCCCACCGACGTGCGGCTACGCTTTCTAGGAAACGGACAAAATATGACGGATGATCAACAAAATGTGCGAAATAGAGTGTAGGTGAAGGTCGTTTCTCTTTGGATAGTGTTGGTGCGCTGGGCTGCGTTGTTTGAGGTTCCGTAAGGTCCTCCTCTTTGTCCAGATTGGATTCCTCAACTTTGTCTTCAGGCGCGGGTGTACGGGAGAGGGCAAGGTACGAGAGGTAAGATGGGGCGTTTGCTGGTGCGCTCGACTGTTGTGGAGTAGTGTCCTCTGCTTCAGGGATGATGAGGGGCCCAGAGATGGTGCAAAGGTCAATAAGAAGCTGTGTCGTCTCCTCCGGAAGATTATCTAGCATAGCGCGTCCGTACCTAGCGAGGTTGCTTTCCGCCTATATAAATGTATTAGCCTCATACAGGAAAAAAAAACCAAAACCGAATAACGAAGATAAGGCTTACCGCGACTGCTCCCAAGTGTCTCAAATACATCAACGCTTCCCCATACTTCCCAGCGTCTTCAATCATGACCCTCAAATATTCTTCGTGTCGCTTATAGCGCTTCGCAAGGTAGCTGGCATGATCAAAGTATCCTGCCTGCCTACACACCCGGATAGCAGTGTCTAGGTCAAATGGAAGGTCGCCGTTCGACTCTGCCGCACCAGAGCGTCGAGACTCTGTTTTAATGAAGCTGTCCAAGCGTGCAACGTCTTTGAGTTTGGTGTAGGTATTAAGCAGAAGAGTGGTATGATCAGCGTTTGCCAGGCCAAGGGCATGTAGCTCTTGCAGATAGGTAACGAGGTTGTGAATGCGCTGAGCGTCCAGGAACTGCGCCAACATCATCAGATCTATTGTGTTGAAAAAAAAACACGAATAACTGACTTTTCTAACGACGTAGCTTGGTTTCACCCAACCTATCGTCTTCAGATAGCACGTCATCGCGCCATCCCAATCTCCTTTCGTGTAGAGGTGGTCACCGTGCTGACGATGAATATCAGCCACGTAGCTCTCGTCGAGGTGTTGTGTCTGCGCGAGACTCAGTGCAAGTGGGTACAGAGCCTTGGCGTACAGCATGGAGAGTTTTGCAGAGGTGGATTTCTCGGCAAGGCGAGTCAGCTGAACAAGGGCAGTGACGTCAGATTGAAAGTCAAGCCACAGTTCTGAGCATCGTTAGGACGCACCTGCCCATTATTTGTGAGGATGTAGATATTTCCCCACTCCGAGATCACCTCTCTGATACCCTCCGCAAACACCCCGGTATATCCAACTACCTTATTCTCCATGTCAAACACAGTCACCCTCGACGCATCACCGTCTCCACCTGCCACTTGCGCTGCAAGCTTTCGCGTAGCAGATGACGTCGTTGTAGCTGTTGTGGGTGGTGAAACGACTATCACATAGTTAAGGTGGGTGTGGATCGACGACTTGTAGCCTGTGAAAGACGTAACATCACCTCTCAGTACTTGAGTTCGTACCGATCCGCTCACCTTCATAAGCATATGGCGGCTCCCTCCCATGTAAACCATACGCATATACTGCCTCATCTCTCGCAAGCACGATCTTCTCGGCGCGCCAATCCATCACCGCACATCCTAATCCACATCCAATATCGTCTAATAACACGCTAGATCCCCCACTCCCTTTGCCAGACACGTGGTACAAGTGTACCGTGTTCGTGGTCACAATGAAAAGGTGCAAGTTGTTATCCTTAGCATCGGCATTAGTGAGACTCGGAAGTTCTCGGAAACCAAGGCCAGTGATAGGTTCAGGGGATGATTCATGGATGATGCGTGTCTTAGGCAGTGCAGTCAGGGACGTTGTGGAAGACAGCGACTGGTCCAGATGCCTGTAAAGTAGCACCGTCCCGTCGGCCAAGCCGATGGCAAGGAAAGACAGTGCAGAAGAAAGTGCAAAGCAAGAGACCTGAATTACAAGCTCACCGAGCGAAAGCTGAACGTAGTGAGTTACTCACTGGATGAGGCTTGTTGCTAGGCTGGACCTTGGCAGATTTCAGTAACACTGGTGCTTGGTTTCTCTTGTCCGTCTTCCCAAGATCCCAAATCTTGAGCAAACTACCTCGTACTGCGCTCTCCTCCCCAATTGTCACCAACACACCATTCCTCTCTGCCATGTGCATTACTCGTCCTCCCACATGTGCGACCCAGCTCGTTGTCGATACGAACTCCTTGTTTAGAGCGTGTATACTGCCGTGAATATCCGCAACGAGCAATCCAGCACTGGATGAGGTGACAGTTGAGATTTCCGAGGCGTTTTTGAAAATCTCGGGTGGGTTAGCAAGGTCATGGACGTCCTTCACAGGGTGAGCATCGAAAAATGCAAATTGGCGAAGCTGAAGGGGTCTAGTAACTGAGGGCGACTACAACATCCGACAGTGGCCAACATACCGCAGTAGCAGCTACAACTTGGACTGTCGTATTTACCATCGAACTTGACACGAAAGTTGACTACTAGTGCTGCAGTCCGTGAAGTGGAATTGAACCAGCGCTGGTCATCCTGCTAATTTGAGTAATCATGTTGTAATCAGGAACCATAGGTGTCTGGCAGCAGTGCAGACAGCGCTCATAATGACTAAGTACTAGTATGTACCCTAGTAGGACTAAATACTAATGTGCATCAGTCAAAGTTGGTGCAGCATATCGTGTATTACTATTCTATATTCGTTGTGAAAAATAGCTGGTCTGCGATGTCGAGGACATCTGTGAGCATGTTAACATGATAGCTGTAGGCCTAAATCGCAGGTGTGAGAGATATCAAGGTATGGAATCCCGCGAATATGATGGACAGAGAATAAGACAGCATATAACATACAAAGCTAGGAGACTGCCGTGGCATCACAAGTCGCATGAGAGCAGGAGCTTTCCTCTAGCTGTCCCTGTATAAATGTCAGTACTTCGTTGGCTGAAGGCCTTTGTTCCAGTTTATCAAGCCAGCACTTCTGCATGAAATCCCATATAGCATCGGCGATGGATGGAGTCACTGGTCGGGCAGGCTTTCGGCCTCTGAGTATTTGTACAGTAACTTGATGGTCACTCCGAAATTCGGAATACGGAACCTTTCCTGTGAAGACCTAAAAGAGATTGATAATCGCATTGCATGATGTCAAAATCCACCGACAAACCTGCAACATGATGCACCCAAAAGAATAGATGTCTGATGCCAATTGGGGTAAGCTTATTGACTCCTCATCTTCCGGAACTTGAAAGTTTTCAGGTGCAGCCCATCGCACATTGCTTCTGATGTATGACGTGCCATGGAGCTCGGCACAAAAGATGAGAATTCCGTGATCAGCCACGAAGGCTTTGCCGTTCTCATCGATGAGAATGTTGTTCTGAGTCACGTCAATAATTGTTTTGGAAGAGATATCTGTGGTACTCACGCCGGTGAGATCACCGTGGACTATGTTTTCGGAGTGTACTAAGTTTCACATTAGCTTGGCGCCGAATACTGAATTTCGCCGCATACAGTACTGAAGAGCTGAAGCGACATCTTTGAGCTGTAATAGCAAAGATTAAGATATGAGCCATACCATGAAGAAAGACCCACGATTTGGAGCATTCGCGCGAGAGTGAGTTGTTGGAAATCACGTTCCAGAAGCATGGTAAGTGAGCCTTTGTTCATCCATGGGGAGACGATAGCAGGCAGTGGACCAAATCCTTGAGTTATACCCAACAAAGGTAGCAGATTGGCGTGTTTCAGCTTAGTATTCCGCTGCAAGTCGTGTTCGAGCCTCTGAAGTGTCATGCATTAGCAAATAAACACGTGGTGTTACTAGCGCATGGAGCCACTCAAACCTCGGTAATTTTTGTCTTGCAGTTATCGTTCGGAATTTCAAGTCGCAGACACTTTACTGCAACCTGGCAGACGGGGAGACAGTATGAGTGCATATTCGCAGGTGCAAACCTGAAGGAGCTACCGTGATTCGAGGGTGCTTACGTATGCACTTCCAGACATCCCCAAAACTGCCTTGAGCGACAGGGTATCGGGATGATTCCTTGCTTATTTGCTCAGTGAGGTCGAGCAGACTAATCCGTAGATACTTGATCAAAATTACACGAAACATAAATTTGCATAGAAAAACAAACTCATTCTTTATTTGTGCCGACTTCCAGCTAGGCCCAAGGTTGGCAAGCAACAAGCCAAGCAACAAGCATAAATGCCTTGTCCACTTGTTCAGCCAGGTTTGAAACCGAGCGGGTAACAGGATCATCATATGAAGAGAAGAAGTGGTAGGCTAGTAAGTGAGTTTGATTGAGACAGCTGATTGAAAACATGGGATAACGTCGCATAGCCGCCCCACAGTAGGACTCTTAAGGATAAATTCAACTGGAGTGCGAATAGGTAGCCTATCCACCAATGAAGCTTTGAAGTGTGAACCGGTGACGGATGAGGCCTTGAGGGCCTTCTAGTATGTATCTGGTGCGCTTAAATCTGACGTATGGGCGCTGGGGCTTGCCGAAACAAGATTTCGATCTCAGATCCGGCTATATGAGCGTCGAGCATGATCAAAATCATGCAGGGTTCGATTCTCATATATGGGTACCCTCAATTAGACGCCCGAGGCTGGCGCAAATGTTATCACATACGTAACATCCACGTTGGCAGGTAAGCATCTATTAAATGTCGTATAAGCGCGTTGAATTACGTCTTTCTCAGCATTGCTGCATCATGGTGCATACAGACTTAGTACATGCAGCTGCCTCATGCTAGTCCGACGGACGACCAATTTGCTGGCGTTAGTGTGAATTCAGGGGTCGAGGCAGTGAACACCCGAACCCTGGGATGCGGGTCTATGTACCACACGAGTTGTGCCAAGTCCCGAACGAACGGTAAATTATTAGCCTATGCCATCAAGCGCTTCCAGATCTTGCAGGACTTCAAGCCTCAAGCATGCAAACATGTGCTGATACGAATTCGCTTCTACTTTTTTCTCCCATCATCATTCCCCCCTTACCCGTTATCTCATTGACTCGGAGGAAATGTCAGAGAATACCCCTGCCATAGTCGCTTCCTCTGTTCATCTCCACATCACCAGTAGGAATTTTCAACTTGCTGTGTATTTGTCCCTTAAATATTTTTTTTCCCAGGTATTGTCATCCGCTTTGATGACACCTCAAAGAAGAAAATCGATTTTGCCGAGTTGAAGTTGGACTCACAGCGACAGGAGATTCGCCACAGTTCGGAACAAGACAAAGACCTCAGTGCGAAGTTCGATCCCGCCATGTGAGCCTACTTATTTTTGTAGAAACTGGTTTAGAACATTGTAACACAGTGCGGTGACCACTGACCGGGTTTCCTTGTCTGTACACTATCAATACTATACTATAGGCACGTTTCTGAGGAAGACCACCAAGAAGTTTTCATTAGACAGAAAAGATATCTTGTCTAATGCAGTGAGTCACGACGGCCAACGAGGTGAACCAATTTTCCTCCAGCTGTACTGCATAACACTTATAGTTCGATGTGATAGAGTATAGGATGACTGAGGGGAAGATGTCTGTTGTTGTCACAACGTCGTCAGTATAGTGGTCTCTTATCTCAGAAGAAACCTGACCCGATCATGATTGATGATATCAGACAGCTGCAGTCGACTAGCAGCAGTATTCTAGAGATTTGCCCAAGATTTCGGCTACTTGTGATAGGGAAGGTCCGTCTCTGTCATTATCTTCAAGCATAGACGATTCACGCATCCACTTCGTAGACCGGCGTCGGAAAGTCATCACTGATCCAGCAGGCATTCAGAATAAATGAAGTAGTTGAGTCCATGGATTACTGTCGCGTGGGGACCGTTGCTGACGTTCGCATGTCCTTTACAGCATATTTCTGAACACAAACGTGGTGAAGCGGATATCGAAAGGGAATTCATCGCGGAAGAAAATGAACGATTTGTCCTCCACGATAGTCAAGGGTTTGAAGCTGGCGATAGCATGATTTTTAAGACCGCAAAAGACTTCATTGACCGCCGACGCAAGGAGCCCAAATTACAGAACAAAATCCATGCGGTATGGTACGGTCTTCTGGCTTCCGCTGCCACTCTGCCATACTGACACTGTTTGAAGGCTCTGCCTTTCGATACCTCATGCCGATGGACGCTTGCTTGAGAGCGGAGTAGAGGAATTTCTCAAATTGAGGAAGGAAATACTAGGCAATAGTGCGCAGCGTTTGCATTTTGTTTTTCATAACTCATATTTTAAATCTAGTTCCGCTCATTGCTGTCTTCACCAAGCATGACATCTTTGTCGACAAATTGGAGTACGACGCTGGTGAATCATGCGATGAAGTCACGCTCGAAGACCTTAAAGTTAATACATTGGATAAACTGTGTATCCAGCCGCTTAAGGAAGCAGCTGGGAGCGACATCCTGCACGCAACTGTTTCAAGTAAAGGGGTTTAAATTATCTAGTCCCCGATGCTGACATACCATTATAGCGAACGAAGAGTACGAGAGGACCATAAGACAACTGGTCGATCTTACAACCACGAACGTCGAAAAATATGTTGCCTCAGAAGCGGCATTAGCAATGATGATAGCCCAGCGAGTAGACATCGGTCTTAAACTTAAAGCATCAATTGCGTACGCACGACCACTGCTATTTTGGTAAAAGCCTTAACTTCATGTTTTTGCTCTCCACAGCATCGGCGAGAAAAGTTAGTCTTGCCATAGTCTTCGGTGCCTTGTCCACTTCCAATTTTCTAGGATATTGGAGAGGTCTCGCTTCGAGCATGAACTTCACCGGCTTTACCATGTTGGACTGCTTGTCTGTGATTCACAAGGACATCATTGACGTTTGGAACTTCAACGACCCTCATTGTGTGAGATATATATTCCATTTCATGTCACAGGCCGCTGACACGTTTCTGCGAAGCACTTGTCCAGTGACCAGTTCAAAGCACTGATCCTAAAAGATCTAGACAAGGTCGACCTTCCACACACAGCACAGGCCTTGTGAGTTGTTAGTTATTGTACTCCGAGACGCTTTCAATTTACAGAAATCTTGACAGTGAATTCGGCCTCTCCGTGGTCGCGACAATTGCATCGATTTTGTCATCGCTATCCGGCCCGCTTCTACCAATCGTCGTACCCATTGCCGCAGGGGTGGTCTTGACTAAATGGGTTTATGATACCTATCAACGGACGTGAGTGAATGCGTTCTGTTTCTATCTGAAAGGTGGTTATAAGGTGACCGATCTAGAAACATTGTTTTGCGGCGGATCATGACATACATCGTGGATTTAACATGTATCATGCAAATCTTGTTCCTGCTAGCACCGACAGGGCCTATCTCTCGTCACGTCATAAAAATTGCCATCAAAGGTTATGAGGGGACGTGCAAAAGCGATGTTCACTCAGCAATTCAATCGCACTGTGTATCTGTCACCCGTGGCGGAGGGGACGATGCATTAGAGAAGATAGTTAGATTGATCAAGGATCATTCTATCAAGGCTGAAGACGTTCAGAACCTGAGGACGAAGATTGGGCACGTGGATTTGCAAGTAGACGAAGAGTGGTAGACGGTCACCGGGCATGACAATGGTTTGTAGTTTCCAAAACGTACCTAGTTCACTAATACGTGTACATATGTGCACAGTGCTCATCTACGTATACGTTTGACTAAGCTTTGAACTCGAGCTACATAAGTGTGACTTAGTAGTGGATTGCAGGTTCAGTGGGACAGGAATCTGTTATACTTTGACGATGAACGACTTGGAGTGCGATGATTATGTAATGGTGCATACTTAATTTATTTACGGCTGTTTGCATACATGCAGCATACGAGCAAGTTGCTAAGGTAGGTGTCGTGCGGATTCTACGTACCTCACGTGATTGTGACTAACCGTGACGCTGTGCAGATAAGTGTGCAAGCATCTGCCGAGCGATGCCGAACGTGCACGAGCAAGAATAAACGAAAAAGGTATTGTGTATATCAAGCTCAAAGATAAAATATGTGCTGCTGGTGTAGATAGTTAGCCAAATGTATAAGTAGTATATGAGTAGTAAGCAAAATAATGTGTTGCTCGTTGTATAACCAGTCAAACTGATAAGTTGGCAAGGGGTCAGCGCTCAAACTCCTTCATCATTCTCTGACACAGAACACGGAACTGAAGTCTTTTGCCTTTTTTTAGATGCTCGTGCTAATACTAGATTGTCTCTCGAGCGCTTCTGCCCGCGTGTTTTGTTGCCCATAGCGCAAGGGTAGTGTCGCCGTGTCGGCAACACGGCACTGCACATCGGAGTATCAAACACATACGTTGACCTTGCACTCTGTTTCTGATATTTTGAATAACAAATGTTCTACTCAATTTCTATTGATTCTGATTAACAGAAAATGACCGCAGTATTATTACCAATGTAACTGACTAGCCGTTTGATGCATAAAGCTCCCAATCAAATGATATTACAATTTTTGTATATTGTCACATTTTCATCACGTTTATCACGTGAGGTATGTAGAATCCGCACGACACCTACCTTATTAGCTATTGCAAATTCAGCAGCAGTCTAAACCATGCGATGTGGGTCCATGTAATACACGGGCCTCTTGCGTCAAGCCCCGAATGAACGGTCACTAAATTTTCAGCGCTTCCAGGTCTGACAAGACTCTTCTGCAAGTTTCTCAAGCATATTTACTGGCATCGGGTCGGCACGTGCAAACAAGCGCTGATACGACGTTCGCGTCCCAGGGCTACTACTTGTTGCTCTCCCGTCATCCATTCACTCCTTACCCTTTCTTCCACTGACTCCCATCGATTTGAAGGACAATGTCTGGAAATACCCCTACCGTAGTCGCCTCCTCTGCTCCTCTCTACATCTCCAGTAAGAAATTCCCACTTACCGTGCATTTCACCCTTGAACATTTTTCTTCCTAGATATTGTCATCCGCCTTGATGATACTTCGAAGAAGAAGGTCGATTTTGCCGAGTTGAATATCGATTCACAGCGACAGAAGATCCGCTACATCTCGGATCAAGACAGGGACCTTAGTAAAAAATTCGACCCCGCCATGTGAGCTCCACCTACTATGTGACTGGGAGCAACTCGTTCAGAATATCGTAACACAGTCCGGTAACTACTGAGCAGGTTTCCTTATCTGTGCACTGTTACCATACTACGGGCTTGTTTCCGCGGAAGATCGTCGTGAGTTTTCCATTAACCAGAAAAGACATCTTGGCCAATATAATGGATCACGACGGCCAACGAGGTGAACTGATTTACCTTCAGCTGTGTCGCATTAAACTTATAGCTTGATGTGATAGTGTATAAGGTGATTCGGAGGAAGCTGACAGTCGTCATTACAATACGGTCAGTCTATTGGTCTCTTATGTTGGAAGCAAACTGAGCATCATCGTCCACATTGACAATGATTATTGATATCAGACAGCTGCAGTCGACTAGCAGCAGTATTCTAGAGATTTGCCCGAGATTCCGGCTACTGGTAATAGGGAAGGTCCGTCTCTGACATTGTCTTCAAACATAGATGACTCACGCATCCACTTTGTAGACCGGAGTCGGAAAGTCATCACTGATTCAACAGGCATTCAAAATCAAAGAAGTAGTGAGTTCGTGAATTAGTGCTACGTGAGGACAGTTGTTGATATTCACCTATCCCTTCATAGAAAGTTGATGAAAACAAGCGTGGTGAAGCGGATATCAACGAGGAATTCACTGCGCCAGAAAATGAACGATTTGTTGTCCATGATAGTCAGGGATTTGAAGCTGGCGATAGCATGATTTTCAAGACTGCAAAAGACTTCATTGCCCGCCGCCGCACCGAGCCCGAATTGCAGGACAAAATCCACGCGGTCTGGTACGGTCTTCTGGCTTCCGCTGCCACTCTTCCATGTTGACACTGCTTGAAGGCTCTGCCTCTCGATACCTCATGCCAATGGACGTTTGCTTGAGAACGGAGTAGAGGAATTTCTCAAATCAAGGCAGGAAATACTAGGCGATAGTGCGCAACGTTTTCATTTAGTTTATCATAACTCACATTTCAAATCTAGTTCCGATCATTGCTGTCTTCACCAAGCATGACGTTTTTGTCAGCGAATTGGAGCTCGAAGCTGCTGATTCCGACCAATATGATGAAGCCGCGCTCGACCAGCTCAAAGTTGACGAATTGGATAGACTGTGTATCCGGCCGCTTAAGGAAGTAGCTGGGAGTGATATCTTGCACATAACTGTTTCTGGTAAAGGGGTTTCACCTCTCTAGTTTTCGATGCTGACACACCGTTATAGCGAAGCAAGAGTATGAGAGCACCATAAGAAAACTGGTCGATCTTACAACCACGAACGTCGAAAAATTTGTCGCCTCAGAAGCGGCATTAGTAATGATGATAGCCCAGCGAGTAGACATCAATCTTAAAGTTGAGGCATCAATTGCGTACGCACGACCACTACTATCTTAGTAGAGCCTCAAATTCAAACTTTTACTCTCCACAGCGTCGGCAAGAAAAGTTAGTTTTGTCACATTCTTCTGCGCCTTCTTGACTTTCGAATTTTCAGGATATTGGAGAGGTCTCGCTTCGAGCATGAACTTCGCAGGCTTTACCATGTTGGACTGCTTGTCTGTGATTCACAAGGACATCATTGACGTTTGGAACTTCCACGACCCTCACTGTGTAAGATACATGTAATTTTACGTTGCAGGCTGCTGACACGTTTTTGCGAAGCACTTGTCCAGTGACCAGTTCAAAGAACTGATACTAAAAGATATAGACAATGCCGACCTTCCACGCGCAGCACAAGCTTTGTGAGTTATTTGTTATTATACTCCAAGACATTTTCAATTTACAGAAACATTGGCAGTGGATTCGGCCTCACCGTGGTCGCGGCAATTGCATCGATTTTGACAGCGCTGGCTGGCCCGGCCCTACCAATTGTTGTGCCGATTGCCGCAGGGGCGGTCTTGGCTAAATTTGCTTATGATACCTATCAACAGAAGTAAGTAAATGAACATTGTTTCCGTCTGAAACGTGTTTCATAAGGTGACCGATCTAGAACCATTGTCTTGCGGCGGATTATGACATACATCGTGGATTTAACATGTATCATGCAGATCTTGTTCCTGCTAGCACTGACAGGCCCTATTTCTCGTCACGTTGTCAAAATTGCCATCAGAGCCTATGAGGAGGCGGGCAAAAGCAATGTTCACTTAGCCATTCAATCCCACCATGTGTCTGTCAATCGTAACGGAGGGGACCATGCGCTGGATGAGATTGTTAGATTGATCAATCGCTATACTATCAAAGCTGAAGAAGTCCAGGACCTAAGAACGAGGATTGGGCCCGTGGATTTGCGAGCAGACGAAGAGTGGTAGATGTGTGCGGGCCTGCATATATGACAGCGGTCAATGATTGTGGTCTGCAAAGTGTACCTTGTCCACCAATATGTGCATGCATGCATTTACTTATCTATGTATACGTCTGACCAAGGAAACTCGAGCCACGTAACTTATCGAGGTCATATGGTGCTGGATCTGTTCAACTATTCTTCACACACAAAACTCACACACACGCACAGATGCGACACACACACAAACGAGATGCACACACATAATCACTCCTTTGCATACATACTCTTGTATTGGAGTCCAAGGGGCAAATAAAATGCACTGAAGCCGCCAGCATTGGCAGCAAAGCCTCGAATCTTTTCAAGGCCTGGCCAGTGGACGAGACGGAGCAATGAGAAGTGAGTAGGTCTCAGAGTGATGATGAAGGTTTCTATAAGTGCAAAGCAAGTAGAGTCCAAGGGCAAACAAAATGCACCGAAGTTGCCAGCATTGAGAGCAAAGCCTCGAAATTTTTTAAGGACCGGCTGGTGGACAGTGCACAAAGATGCAGGTGACATGGCGGGCGCTTGTTGTGGTGCCGCAGTTGATGGTCTCAATACCAAGCGACATCGAGAAGTAGGAGGGCATGAGAGATGGGGCGCGGCATGAGAGAACAAGTGGGAGAGAGTTAGCATGAGAGAACAGGTATGAGAGAGCAAGCATGAACGGGTGCAAGAGAGCAAGCACAAACAAAAGAGTTAGAGCGAGCATGAGAACGGGTGCGAGGGACCAGACGTATAGGTCCGTAGACATTGATTATTTCACAAGAGAACGGGTAGGTGCAATAGATAGTGACTGCAGGAGTGCAAGATGCTTCACAGTAAGAATATAGAAAAATGATAAAAAGTCAAAACGTACCTTGAGCCTCAATGTCACCAGCACTGGTCCCTTTCAACTCCCTGGCGAAAACAAAGGACTTGGAGAAAATCGAGCGTACATAGATCTTGTTGAGAAAGTTCCATCTTGGTTTCGTCACCACTGGCATTCTAGATGGCACTGTATGCACAAAAATAGCAGGGACAGCAGTAGGAGACTCGCTTTCAGCATTTCATCCCTGGGTGTTGGTGTTAGCCTCTTGACTACTACACATTGACATCCCGAGGTACTGAAGAACTGCAGTGACTTATAGAAAAAAATAGCAAAGCCTCATCAGGCAGCACAACACTTATGTAATACATAAGATTGAGGCGTAGTTCAGCCAATAATGAGCACTGCCGCATTATTGCCTGCGAGGAGCCACCCATCATCGAGCACTCATGATACTGCACTGACAATACTGCATGTTCCATCAACTGGTATGCGAAAGAGTGATTATGTGTGTGCGTCTCATTTGTGTGTGTGCCGTGTCTGTGCATGTGTGTGAGTTTTGTGTGTGAAGAATAGTTGAACAGATCCAGTGCCATAAGGTCATAAGTCTAACTCAGCAAACACACCTCACTTGGTATTCACTTGTACTAGCACTCGTGCTCATTTCCTGCCATGTCATAGCTACAGTTGTTCTCAGACACCAGTACTATCCCTTCCACTGCAATCGGCACCCCACAGAAGTCGGCACTTTCACAAAACTTGTATTTCTAGCTACTTAAACACAAAATTCTTAACATCTGTATCATTCTCTCTCTAATACAATTCATTACGAGGTTGAATGACCACGATTAAAGCAGAATTGAGTGAGATAGTTGAAAGTGCTGAAGTCATGCAGAAATGTCACCTGCCGATACATGCCATGACGGAGTTTCAAATTGCACCCCCACTTTGGAAGTGCTGACTGGTGCAGCGCTGCGCGTCCGCATTCGCAAGTTTAAGTTAGCAGCGGTAGATGAGGAAAGCTGCAAGCTTTGTCAGACCCGACATATGAGCCACGCATTCAGGTTTCAATTCAGAGAATTGCAAATGGGTTATACTGCAGCAAAAGAACAGAATGTGAGTCGTGTTTCGTCATGTTACAATGCACATGGTCTCCCTATATATCCACCTCGATTTTACAACTATGGCACTAATAACAGTCGCCCTCGTACTTAGGTATATCTACTATTCAATACTATACTTGCTCAAAGTTCGAATGAATACTAATTGACCTTGCTCACTTGCTTGACTGCTGAACTGACTTTAAAATTGGCCTACATGACATATCATGACTCACAGTGACATTTGCGTGACTGCCGACTTCTGTGGGGTGCTGATTGCAGTGGAAGGGATAGTAAGGTAGATGACAGATGTCTGAAATTTTCGACGAACATCATGTGATGTGACTGACATGACGCTGTGAGGATAAGTCACCTGGGTTTCCCAATAAGTAAGCCTTATTAGGCTGTACGATCACGTGTCTCGCCCACACTTCTTTGGCTCAACAACCACATTTCCCCAACACCAGTGTAAATTGTCGTCCTAAATAATGTAGGTACTTAGGGCATTTGGTTGTCCCAGCCCTTACAACATATACCTCCCCACCGGCAATGTCTGTGGCCCCTCCCACCCATTAGTAATTTCCTCCCCACCTATATGCATTCCCATGCCCTCTCCACCACAGCGCTACACAGCAAACGACACCCGATGCCCATCCCTCCCACCAATATGTTGGCCTGCCTTTGCCAGTGCTGGCCACCCTTAACAGCCTGTGCCTAGATGGCAAATAATGCCCAATGCCCATCCCTCCCACCAATATGTTGGCCTGCCTTTGCCAGCACCGGCTGCCCTTAACAGCCTGTGCCTATACGGCAAACCATGCCCAATGCCCATCCCTCCCACCAATATGTTGGCCTTGTCAAGACATAGCCTACTGTTTCCAACATGGGTCTTCCCTCGTGGCTGTAACATGTCTGTCCCCTTCCCTTGTGGTTGCAACATATCTGTCCCCTTCCCTTGTGGTTGCAATGTGTCTGTCCCCTTCCTTCACGGTTGCAACATGGATGGTTGTCTTACACTTACTGCTGTCTACTCTGCTTTTGTTTCAGCACACTGGACTGTGGTTTCGATGTCTCATTTTCAGAGGTCTACTAAAATCAACGGTCTGTCTAAATTGGCTGTTACACATGGTTTCAGATGCTTACAGTGTACTTCAGATGTTCTCACTGCAGCATCTCAAAAAGTGCGCAGGGAAGCTGTTGATGCTAGGTGTTTGTCTGACCTTCGAGGTATGTCTCAATTTTTGTATGCCTACTGGAGCTAATGGTAACTTAGAACTATCTGCGGTGGACCAAGAGAATATTGAGAGCATGATGGCTGATTATGGTATGATTACTGACAATGGCAGCATGCCATATGTGCCGGCACCCAGTGATGAGGGATTTGACCTCAGCCATGAAGGTGGCGAATATGAGGCTCTTCAAGGGCTATCTCGCACCATGGCAGACTTATCAGGATTGTAGGATTGTATCCCTTTATATATATATATGCACTGATTATTATACTGTCAGCCACTATGTGGGCCCTAGGACTCGACATGATCGCATTGAGCTTCAAAACAACCATTGGGATATGCAAATGGACAAGTTTGTTAATGCCTATCTGGACTACCAATCTCGTGATTCAGGCGATGGTATGCCTTCATCAGCATCTGTGGTATAAAACGAAGACCCTTCTCTCAATGCTGTCCTGGTACTCAGCGACATCGAGCTCGTTGATACTTTCTGTAGGTCTAGTTGTTCTCGCCACTCATATTGACTCAAGTTCAACCAATAGTTCATCGCCAAGATTCATTCCAAGCCCTACCATGCCATATGTATCCCAACGAAACATTGATTTACCTTGGTTATCTTGGTTGTGCACCCTTATTTCCGAATGTTGCTATCAGTCTTCATACCCTTGCAGCCTATCGGCAGGCTCACCAGACTTGTCCCTGATTCAGCATCCAGGCGCAATGCAGAATGCTGTGCCACTTACATGATGTTTGTATAGTTTAGTTTGTTGTTTATTGCAATTCAGTCCGTTTTTCAGATGCTGTATTGACCTTATCTCCGCTCTCAATTTTTGGCTGCTTATGACACGTTTCTTGAAATTCTTCATCGGGTTGATGTATTGCTAAAGCAGGCGCTCAAGCATGACACCCCAAACTGGCGGCTGTTGAATGCATGTCCACCGTGTACGTATAAACTGGAAGATGAACCATAACTCCAATTTGAATGGTTTGCCACCATTGACAGCAATAATAGCCTAAAGTGCTGGGCATCTTCAACTCATGACTCTGTGTCTCGTGACGATTCCCATCAGCCTAGAACAGACTACTGGGTTGATCACAATGCAGTAGATAAGTTCAAAGATGAAGTGAGGTCAAGAGCAGTAGGTTTCTGTCATTTGTAAATCTGCATAATAGTAACCTTATGACCAGGCACTTGACAAGAATGACGGTGTTAATGACTGGGAGGACATGCATGACGACGAAGACTCAGAAGTCCTTGGCCAAAAACCTTTCAATTGCACTGCCCATTGGCGGAACGCAGGACCTGAACAACACAAGAAAATGTTTTCAGTATTTGATGAATCTGGGATTTTTATCGCTGCATGCCGTCACCATTTTGTCTTGCTGACTTGTAATATGGTTCGCAGCGGAGAGTTGTGAGTCTCGATGCCACCGGCACCATATGCTAGTACTAGTAGAGCTAATAATTTTTAGAGCGAAGTATCCACTCACAATACTTGATCATCTAATGGCTGTATATGGGCAGAATGGCTCATGTGCTTATGACATCAGTTGTGCATTTTCAAAGATGTTGAGTGCCAGTTCTTCGGGTCCACACACACACTCACTCAATCTATGCATGATGGTGGGCACATTCCACGGACATGCCCATAATCACAAGTGCCAATTAGACTGGCACCCCATGTATATCAGCGGGACTGGCCACACTGTCACTGGAAGCATGAAAGACTTTTTCAGCATGAAAAATCTTGAAAAAATCCTAAAAAAGGTTTAAATAAATTTCATGATTCTGTCGCCTGCAAAATGCTAGTTAAAATGTGAACTTTCTATCTACTTTTGCTTGGTGCAAAAAGTTGATCTTGGTTAAATCTTAAGTCACTGTTCATCCACAATATTGTCTCAATACGTAGTTTAACCATTTGAACAATTTTTTCTCTGGTACAAACCTAGACAAAACTTTGACTTTGTGCTATGATAGTGAATAAACTTTTGAATAAATTTTATCAACATTTTTTTGACCATAAAAGTTGATGTTTTTATCACCCTTTTGTTGATGTTTTTGTTACCTAGATATCTTGGATGAATTTTTTATAATGCATTAGATAATATTCAATGTAGTAATCAAGCTTAGATCAACATTTTGTCTCTCACTTTTGTTTACCTTTGTTCAAGATTCAAGCAGACTTCTTATGCCATTATTATTTTATATCAAAAACAATGCAATGCATTAACTTTGTTACAGTTAGATATATTAATCTTACTGTGAATCAAAAGTTTGTTGGGATTTAAAATGCTTTCAGGAGAGAATTTTGTGTTGTAACATCAGTTAAAGCTTATTAGTATTTTAAGTGTGGTCAGGAGAAGGATTTAAAATGATATTACTAATCTATAACAAATGAGATGTTCCGATACAGGTGTCTCATCTGTACTGCACATGGGAGACTATGAGGTACGGTATCTGAATACAATATTTGATGGACCTTGGCATTTATTGTGGCCGAGGTCTGAAAATGACAGAGGAGACAAAAATTGAAACAAGGCTCGCAGGGACATTCTTTTTCTCGCACAAGCATACAAATGTAGCACAACCAAATATTTCTTTGTGACCCTTGCCTACCAGCTTGTGGGCAATTTTCCCAGCATCCAGAAGGACATGAACAGAGCTATCCACAAGAATCTGCAGGTTCTAGACTCCAGTAAGTCTCTTCATGATCAGATGAAGGCCTTATTTTGCCAGCTTCTCTGGCACCTGCATTTCAAGCTGTGGGAGTGTCCACCTTCGGTGTTTGTTGTCAATGCCCTTGATGAATGCCAGCCTGTAACAGTCACTGATCTGATCCACCTCCTTGTAGAAGCTCTTCATGATCCTGAACTTCCTGTGATTCATATTTTGCTCACAAGTCGCTTGGAGAAGCATATTCGCCAAGCCATTCAAAAGAAGAGATGGACATGCTGGTGTACCAGTGAACATAGGAGACTATGAGGTATAGTATCTGAATACAATATTTGATGGACAACATTACTGTCACTTAGACACAGAGGGTCACAGTATTTTTCCAATTCATGCAATCCCTTCCACATATGTAGTTGCATTGGCTCGAAGCACTCAAAATCGCTGGATAACAATGTACCACTACACTGAGCCAGTAGGTTCAGAGTTGCTTTTAGTTTCAGGAGGTTCTGTTGAATGATCCAGGAATTCGGAACATTTGGACTTAAAGGACCATGGAAACATATTTATGGGAGGACTCAATGCTACCATTAAACCCAAAGATCTCATAGTTTGAGCCTTTTCAAAACTTACCTTGGTCTAAGAGAAACGTAAGAGCTGGGCGAAAGATGCAGCATGAAGTGTGAATCATGACAATAGTGACCGAACAATAACCATGGACAGAACATGAGCAGAGGACCATCAAGAATACTCCATACATGACTTTGAAAGTGGAGTGTAATTCTGAAAAGGTCTTTAAAATGCCAGATAGACATCCTATCAGGAAAATACATCAAGAGAGAGATGATGAAGTAATAATGAAATAAATAACCATGTACTGCATCTGTACTACATGTATTTATTAGTGACAACTACTGTGCAGATATGTACAGCAGAGGAAAAGTACAAAACATGCCCACTGGCAGGCCTGTATAGGTGGTGATTGCACAGTTTCTGCACTCAGTGGGGCAGTACTAGTATCAGAAGCAGGGAGTATGTCATCATGAACACTTTTGCATCAATGACAGGCTGATCTTGCAATATCAATGCCTGGTCTTGCTGTTACGACTGCATTCATTTCACCTTCTTATGCGGTCTTGTTTGGGACATCAAATAACAAACAGTGGTGGCCTGCACAGAAATCATTGAACAATGAAAATTGAACATGGACCAGAAGAAAATGTACCTGTTTATCTTTTACTGCAGCAACTTCAACAATAGGATCAAAATGAGAAAAGATAATTAATGTTAGGCATTGCTGCAGCTGGGTTGGTTCACTGATGATGTATTGAGAGTGGTGGATGAAGAAAGGTGTAATTAATTGTTGGGATTGCCATCCACATAGTTAGGATTGCCATCTACATAGTTGGGATTGCCATCCACACAGGTGTGGATCGACATCTGTGATTAGTAAAATTCAATATTTGTGGACCTGAATTTACTACTGATTTGTGGCACTCAAAAACTGTCGCTGTACATAATCTGTTGTGGTTTACTGCATCATCACCTGTGTCCTCTGAAAGCAATCTGAACTGTTTGACTGTTTCTGTCCTGTGTGATGCTGCCCAGCACATTGGATGTAAGTGGTCAGAGGCACAACTGAAGGTCAAAGTGTTAATGCCATTTTGTGACATTTTGAGGTCCTGTGGACAGAGCTTGCAAGTTTGTCACCTGAGGAGCTCATACAGTGTTTATAATGCAGGAGGAAAGTGGCTGCTCAACATCCTCAGCATGAGATTACCATCTGACAAGTGATGGAGGCTGGAGAGGGCCCACTGCTGCTGCAATGCACATATATGATGCAAGACCATTGTGCATGATAGAGTTGGATCGGAACATCTCATTTGTTATAGATTAGTAATATCATTTTAAATCCTTCTCCTGACCACACTTAAAATACTAATAAGCTTTAACTGATGTTACAACACAAAATTCTCTCCTGAAAGCATTTTAAATCCCAACAAACTTTTGATTCACAGTAAGATTAATATATCTAACTGTAACAAAGTTAATGCATTGCATTGTTTTTGATATAAAATAATAATGGCATAAGAAGTCTGCTTGAATCTTGAACAAAGGTAAACAAAAGTGAGAGACAAAATGTTGATCTAAGCTTGATTACTACATTGAATATTATCTAATGCATTATAAAAAATTCATCCAAGATATCTAGGTAACAAAAACATCAACAAAAGGGTGATAAAAACATCAACTTTTATGGTCAAAAAAATGTTGATAAAATTTATTCAAAAGTTTATTCACTATCATAGCACAAAGTCAAAGTTTTGTCTAGGTTTGTACCAGAGAAAAAATTGTTCAAATGGTTAAACTACGTATTGAGACAATATTGTGGATGAACAGTGACTTAAGATTTAACCAAGATCAACTTTTTGCACCAAGCAAAAGTAGATAGAAAGTTCACATTTTAACTAGCATTTTGCAGGCGACAGAATCATGAAATTTATTTAAACCTTTTTTAGGATTTTTTCAAGATTTTTCATGCTGAAAAAGTCTTTCATGCTTCCAGTATGTATTGTCTGTATAATGAGACAGTTCTAGAAATTCAGGCAAGTCTGCACAGTCAGGTATCTCCAGGAGGGACAGATCCCAGGGACAGACAAGGAGAAATTTTTGTTTAGTGGGCCTTGCTGGCCAGAATTGAACCAGGGTCTCTCCGGTGGTGATAAGCAAGTCGTGAAGTATGTCTGCCTTTACTCCATATGTGAAATGAGTTTCTGGGACTGGATTGCCCACCCAGCATCTGACTTCTGTGACATTGAATGTAATATAAGGCAGATGCAGTCTTTGTGCTGCAAAGAAAGGGGCACTCATGCTTCAAAGCAGAGTATAAAGTTTGGAGCAAAATTAGCAGCCACTGTCTTTTGCAGTGAAGAAACTGCTGACTGAATTTCATCTTTGGGTAGGAGTGGTAGATAGCTGTTGAACTCTGATGATTTTCTGACCCAATCAAGGCCAGTGATGTCTCCTGACCAAGCCACATTCTCATACAGGAGCCACCCAAGAGCCTTGTCCTACTTCTTGCCATAATCTATAGGCAGGTGGGCACCAAGAATGCCAAACAACAAGTATGGTATATCTTCCTGATGTATGATAATACAGGTTGATGCCCAATGAAGTTTTTCTCAGGCGTTATGCATACTGGGATGGAAGGCCACAATGGTTGGTTGGTCTATGCCCATCCCGTCCTTCATCTCCTGCATGATTGTGATGAAATCCTTGTGGTTGGGAGTGCAATCATTACGATAAAGAGTCCAATTGTTCTGATAAAAAAGAATGACTTTGGAAGCAATAAATTCTTGAACCGTCCATCTGCACGTGTTTTAGGCACTATTTTCCAGTGCACCAGAGTTTGACAAAAGCAGAACATCCAACTGGTAAATAATTGTGAGCGCAGAGTGGTGATACCACATGGACATTGAGTTGACTGATTCTTGAAGTTCATTATTGTCGCTCTTATCAATGCAGCATGTATCACTCCATACCCAGGCATACCCTGCATTATGAGCAGCTTTGCAGAAGGACTGCAGCTTTGTCATGCCGTCAACTGGATACGACTCTAAGTTATATACTCCCTTGCCCTGAATATCCTGCAGCAGTGGCTCTCTCACTTCCCACCTATGTGATAGCATGGCATATTGGAGGTATGTCTTCACCACTTCTTCAATGTGTTTCATGTGTAAGTCTGTATGCGTGATTGTTGATGACACAAGCTCTTCATACTCTTTACTCATTTGGAAGGCCCTTATCAGTGTTACTCAATTACATAAGAGACTGGTGGTGGTATCAAGTACACACAGAAGAGCATTGTTGAGTTGTGCATCAACCACCTATTGAATAGTGTATCACTTCAGAAGGTCTGAGATACTGCTGGCGCAGTTCTAGAGAAAGAGTTAACCATGTCAACAGATGTGTTATAAGAGGTTTACTTTGTGTCTGAATATTGGATGCATTGTCCAACATCAAGAGCATCGTCTGGAAGGCCAGAATTGCTTCATCATAGCACTGTGCACCATGAAACTCTGTGTGCTTCAAATTATACCCAAGATAAGACAGAGAATTGAGTTTGATGACCTATGTATTGCCATAATGAGCATCAATTATAAAATGGATAGCTGCCATTGTATCTTCTGTGCATCGAGAAGTGCTTTCATCCATAAAATTTTGCCTAACTTTGCCTTACTATGATTTGCAAAGATACATAGCTTCAGATGCAGAATTCAGGTTGATTACCGCCAAGTATATGTCAATAGCCCTGTCATAATTGCTAGCAGCTAGGGCAATATCTCCATTGGTGACATAGAGTATGCTACATTGTTCCTTGAATTCTAAGTCAAAGAAATGAACATATTTCAATAAGAGTGCAGTAGAGTTGACAGTGGCAGTGAAGTGATCAGCAGCTTCATTGTAATGCACACCATCCAAGGCTTTGATTCTGATCTTAACACATAAATATGTCTAATGTGTGAGTGGCAAAGATCAGTGTTGATGACCAAGCATAGCCACATAATACTTGCCTTCATAACACAACACCCAAGAGGATCAACATTCGGACAAGCAGTAGCCAGCTCTTTGATAAGCAGCATTGCTTCTTCATGTTGGTCTGCATTGAAGAGCATGATGGCCTAAAATACAAAATAAAGCAGTGAGTATGCAAGACAAATGTGAGCTACCTTGATCAACAGAAGAGATTGGTTGGTGGCTGGACCTTGGTTGGTGAACATGGATGTGCCACCAAACGCTGTCCTTGCTTCATATATGTGGCTATTTCCACACAGGGCAATACCTTTAGAGATATAACCTGTCAATGAGGGCTGTATGCTGATGAACTGTGTCATGGATGAGGGTTAGCTATTTGAGCAATCACAGGTCAGTCCATCTCACCATGATCACATCCTCAAAGGTGCAGTCCCAGGCATGTTTATGGGCCATGATGAATGACTGATTGGCATATGAAGTATAGTTGTTGTTATTAGTGTAGATGTCTTGTGCGAGCAACTCTTTAGCGGCAGACAGATCTCCAATTACACATGTGTTGCAGGCTATCATGATTGCCAGGATCTGCACAAAGGATGCTTAAATCAGTCTATATGAGTTAAAGATGGACACTTGCCTTCGAATTAGTGTTGCTAGGTACTGCCCACTCTGAGATCTTTTTACCTTCACCTCCGCTGAGGATGTGCTTGCCGTCCACAGAGAATGCAACACATGTCAGGTTAGATGAGTGCTGGAAGATGGCAATTATCCATTGATATGAGAGCCACCAGAGATGGACAAGATTATCATTAGATGCATAAGTAATGAGGGTGCCACTGGAATAAATAGCAATGATGTTGATACTGTGAGTGCAGTCCAATGGATGACTAACCTGCTGCCAGGTCAATGCATCTCATTCCTGCATGTGATTCCTGTCTGCTGAAAGAAGGTGTGTGCCATTGAATGTCTATGCGAAGGAGAGGGCATATTCCTTGAAAAATGCAACATGTTGCTTTATACCTGTATCATAAATGTGGATATTTGCAGATGTTGCGACAGCAAGAAGTTCAGCAAATGGGAATATTGAATGCAGTTGAGATAAAGATGTCAATTGATTGGTTCTCCTTGCATCTGCCATGTATTCATACACCAAAACTTCACCATGTGCTTGTATGAACCAGTGGCCAACACCATACTGTTTGGAGAAAAATCTGAAGAGATAATTGCCTTAAAGAGTGGACTTCAATGAGTTAAGTGATGGATTTGCCAATTCCACTGTGTCAGGCAATGACCTCTCCATTTTCATTACCACTTGCTATTACCTGCCCAGCTGATGATACTGCCAGTGCCTGCACCCCACTTCTGTGCCATTTCATCTTCTTCAATATGGCGCCAATCTCCAAGTCCCACAGACAAAGTGTCTTGTCCTCCAAGCCTGTAACTATTTATTGTTTATTAGGGAACACTACAACTGCCCTTATAGTGTTCTCATGATCTTCAAAAGTTTGAAGGGGTGTGGTGCTTGGAATGAGCTGCAACATTTTACTGATGATTAATGATGTTGAGCACAGTTCAGAGATTCAATTATGAGTGTCTTTGTCCAAGTTGCCCAGGTGCATGTATTGGATGTTTTTATGTTATTTCACCACATCAACGTTTTTGTTTCCATAGACGCCCAAGTTTGCCATTCCAACAAGAATGGTCCTACTAGTCATAACCACTTCTTTCAATAGCATTGAGTACATGCATCCGACTCATGTCTCCATAGCTTATAGAATATATCCCTTCTCATCCAATAGCGATACTGCAATTACTACTTCTCCGCCCTCGAAGTTGGCTGAAAGCCAACATAAATTACAGTATGAATGCTGTTAGTAGTTTCTCATATTGACCAATTTCTACAACATTTCATCATGTAATTTGTTCAAGTGCATATAGCTCACTGAAATACCATCTCCTGATCTTATTGATTCCCAAAATATGGCTGTGTGCATCAGATGCAACCAAATTTATCTCTTTTTCATCTCAAATCCACTCATACTAGTAATGGAGAAGTTTCTGTCTTTTAAGATGTGTTTTATACAGATCATGGTTTTCAAAGTTGTCAGCCTTGCCTGAGAGATCTTTGCTCTTTACTTATCTTGGTTTCTCAACCAACTTCCAGCCCAATTGGTTTCAGTTTGTCTTGTTCACCAACTTATCAACTGCCTTCCTATGACTTTCCATTCTTGTCACAATTCTGTGTCGAATATGGTTATCACACTCTACTAACATCGATGAACTCTCACTAGAGCCAATGCTGCACGAGGCTGCTTTCACTGTATTGTTCAGGAATATTATGTTGTCGATCATGGAATATATGAACCAATCTCTTGGCCCTACCAAGACATTAAGTGAGTATCACAACTTTTAAGCAATCTTTCACAATACAAGAACTTTCTCTCATTGCTTGTCTCAGGGTCTACCATGCCAGTTCTGATCAGCTGAGATCCAAGGTCTGGAGATCCCTCACTGGCACCTTATAACTTGCTGTAGAGTAGTATACAGAGTATGCAAACCATGTCTACACAGCGTGCCTTAAATTTTAAAACTCATGCTCTCCAAGGTCTCAATGTCAATATCAATCTTTTCAATTTCACAGATGACTCTGTCAGTCATTTGAGCTGCTCATCCTTCAAGGATATGTTGTAGGGTAATCTTTATAGTTGTCGGCTGGACATGCAGACAATCGCCCTTCCCCTTGCCCTGAATATTGAACTTGAAGCCCATCTTAGCCCTATCTCTGCAAAGTTTAAGCCACAGCTGAAGCTCATGAATTTTTGTTATTCACTGATACTTGTGCCCAAATCAAATCTACACAGCAACAGTGTGGAGGTATGGACACCAATACCAAGGAAATAAACACCAGTTTGTTGGAGCAACGATCATGTCATTGCCTTATCACAGGTGAATCTTGCTGCTGATCAAGCAAGTCTCAGATTTTATTCTCAGTGCTTTTGAGTGCAACCAGGACCTATATACTCTCCTGTTTCTCCTTTCCATCTTGATTCAACTTGATTCACAGTCTCCATACCCATCCAATCCTCACTTAGTATATCCTTCATCGCCCCAATCATGCAGAACAGTTGAGAAGTTCAATCTATCAAACTTGAAGGGTGGCTCACATGATGTGTCCATTTCGTGACCTTCGCATTCTATTTACATTTATCAGCAGAAAGAATCTTAAAGTCTCTTCCGAGCACATTTCCACAGGTATTTACCTGCCTGTCAACCTCAACGAGACCACTCTCTAGGAACCGGCTATATACACAGTATCATCCAGTGAATCTGTAGTGTGGGTTGTATCATGATCATGTAAGGCAATCTACAGAGACTTAGGGACGTAAACTGAAACCTGATTTTTGATCCATAGATTGCTTCAATGTATCACTCAAGTTATCCTTTGAAATCAGTGTGTCATTTCAGCTCTGTCAAATGGAGAAATTGTCGGTAAGCCTGAATCATCATGTTTCCTTAATGTGCATCTACTACCAACTTATTGTAGTCCTGTCCTGGTCGGATGGATTGGATATTCCAGGATTGAAATATTCTGGATTTTTGACTCTAGCTTTTGCATTTTGAGTTTGATTTGATGGAGGTTCTTCAATCTTGTGGCCAGTATGCCAAACTTGATCGTAGTGCCTCAATTTTCAGTTTGGATCATAGAGCATAATGACCAACTTGAAGGCACAGATGATGGTGATGATCCTGAAGAGGTAGAAGACTTGGAAAAGACAGCACAAGGAGAGCATACAGTTGCAGAAGGCATGCAAGTACTCGATAACAACATCAATGATGAGGACCATGAACCTGAGGTTGGAGAGGGGGATATCTCTTTCAGATCAACTCTCCTCAAAAAAGATGCTAGGAGTGTTTTGATGGATTTTACCATTGTCCATCTCACAGCTGTGTCTCAACCAGAGGAGAAGTACATATCGCTATGGAGGGTGACTAATAACTGCAGCAAATGCTTGCCTTCTTGTGGAAGTGAAAAGGTTTGTGAGCAGGAGTCTGAAAGATGATGAGTTGGATGAGGACATTAAATTCCATATCGACAAGACTAGGGCTGACATATTGGTGCAAGCAGATGTATTTTTCTTCAAGATGAAACCAAGGATTCTATGTGCAGTCGATGATAGTCAACATACAACTTCAACTTTATGATCAGTAGTCTCGACATCAAGTGCTAAGTGTTTGATAAGAGTGAGCAGATCCATCAAGTTAAACACTAGATGTTCAACCAGGCAAAACTCAAACACTAAGTGTTTGTCAGTAGCACTCCTAATATCGATGCCAAATACTAAGTGTTCAATGACACATTGATAATTGGCACTTTACCTTTCCTTTCACGTCCAATATTCATCTTATCACAGCTGTTCGTTCCTTTGATGTCAGCAAGCCTAGTACTAAAGTGTACAAGATGTCTTAGTGATTCTGTCCTCATGGATGTTGTCAGGCTGTAGCATCATATAATTGCGGACTTTGAAATATGATTTGTCAGTGCAGACTGCATCGGAGATGTTCCCCTTTTTCCAGATCCCAATACACAACAGCAACATCAACCAGTAGCAGTTCAAGTAGACACTGGCAAATATGGAGATGGCCTATCCTGTTGCTGCTGCTAGAAGTGTGATCAGGACCCACACAATTGCAGGTGATGAGGTAGGCCAACCAAAAATAAGACTCTAGGTTGTGATAGAATTCAACTTTTGTATTTAGCATTGAGGTGTTGGACCCAAAGGGAAGTGTCTTCTTCTCATTATATCAATATCAGATGTATCTAAAAATAAGCGACTTACTGTGCATGGTAGGGAAGCACCCCCAGGTTCTGAATAGTCTGTTGCAGACCCCCAATTGGATGCCACATCATCTCTCATAGGTGTCCAATATGTGACTTTGAAACAACAGAGTACACCCTCTTGATGTAGACTTAAGTTGGCCAAGTTCTTAATATTAGTGACTGACTGTTAGTCTTATTTGTTGTCCCTTGCTAATGAAAATATGTATATTCTCCCCACAGAATTGATTTCCAGTGTCTGAAAGAGAACTTAAATATATCCGCATTAGACAACTGATAACCATGTACCAGCTAGTATAAAAGTATGACTCAATGGTGGCCTCAAATATACTTCTGTATGTCGTGGGAAACAGTGTCAAAAGTGAAATAAAATAACTTAATATTTCACTCAGTGTCACTCAGTAATCTTAGAGGTGAGAATCTAAAAAGAGCCTTATGGTCACTCTTCTTATTTTCACTCACTCATTTACACTAAAGCTTAGGTAATACAAGAAAATGGGCTCTTTGATAACTTGGGAGCTCTCTTTATTAGAGTGGAAAATGAGCCCCTTATATACTACTCTACTAGTGGCTATGCTATAGATTACTAATCTACTATTAAAGTTTCAAAGAATGTCATGAAATTTTCCAGACCATTCCATCAAACTCTAGTGGTGTCTGATAGAATATTCTGGAATCTTTCAAGTCATCATTAGTGGCTGTGCTCTGTGGCTATGTAAAATGAAAGGCTCGCATAAGCAAACATGTTCAAGATGTGACACAAAACATACTGATTATGTAATATGTATGTTAGGATATGTCATAAAGCATGTTTCAGAACATGTGAAAATGTATGAGAAAATTATAGGAGGTGTGAGAAATTACTGACTAAGTGGAGAATTGTGAGTTTGAAACCAATCTTTCAGAAGTATAAATATCATTTTGAATGTTAAGTAGCATTGCACTCATTTTGAGCCTGAAAATACTCAAATAAATTATGAGTGCTGCAAAGAAAATTCTAGGCACAACTATAGGCTATTGGGTGACTTCCCATAGGCAAAATAATATGCACTATCATATATCGGACTTTGAAAATCATTTTCCAAGTTACGCAATCAGATATTCTGTATGAAAAACCAAACCATAGGCCAATGGAATATATATATCATAGATGATATTTTATATCAATATCAAGCATTGCAACATATCATAGAGACAGAAGTAATTGACGACAAAGAATCTGCACTCATTGTTGCAGCTACTGTACTGGTGGGAACTGAGCTGACTCAACAAGACTGCATTAACAGACATCAAACATGATGATAATACCTTTGCCGTGCGTAGCTCCTTCTAAATCCATGGCAAGCTTTATTTGCGAGCCAGAACATGTAGGACATTGTCCCCTGGTGGGCGGTGAGTGGTGAGTGCTAATGTGAGGCTCAAATGTCTGACTCATCACAAAGCAGCCAAACTAGTGCCTATAGAAAGAAAGAAAGTATGCAAATTCTGTGAGCCTATACAAGTTTGTATAGGCACACAGTAGTTGCCATTGTATATGAGGAAACTGTGAAGTATCAAATAGCGCTGGACAACAGAAGGTAAGATTATGTCAGTGGATATCACTAATGTGAGTGATCCCGAAAAGGCAAGTTTGAGTTTATTCCTGTTAGAATAATCTGTAGGGGGGTAGACCCTTGATGGATTTCAAACAGTGATGAAATGTCACCCAGCATTGTGGCACACCTTTCTAATACATGAAATTATATTATATTCTATATTATTTTTGCCTACAGAAAGTCACCCATTATGAAGGGTATTACAAGCTAGATATTTACCATGTTCATGTATAAAACATGTTTTGTGCATGTCAGCATGCAGTTCTGAACCATGATATATTGACTCTGCAGGCAGTGAAAGATGTGCGTGATTGATGTCTTTCCTTGAGCTCTTGTTTTTTCATGTGTCAATAGCCTTGCCTATCCTCTGTGATGTCATCATAGAAGCAAATATGGAAGTAACAGACTGCGCAATCAGAGATTCAGAGAGCAGGCCGATAGAAGGGTGCATGTGATCATTTATGATTGTTATTCCTGGGAGGAACTTGATCTTGTCTCACCAGCGACTGCCAACATTGCAATAGATACCATCCAGCCTCTAAGCATACTCTCTATCCAAATGATCACCAGGATTTTCTTCTCCAGTGAAAATCCACTTGCCACTGGACGAGTAGATGAGAAGACTGTTCCATCCAGGATCTTGGAGTTTCCTGTGTATCACATAATTGCTCACAATCTCTGATGGATCCCAGAAATCTTTGATTACAAGAAGAGTTTTATCTAGTGCTTCTTCAATAGCAAACACATGTGTGCCATTACCATGCAGACCTGATTGTGCGTCAAAGAATATCACATTAAGTTATGCAAAAAAGAGATACCTATTGATCGGTGAAGGTGACCAACTAGATGGAGCTCTGAATCATTGCATGTCATTCCATTTTCTTCTCCATCCTGCCAGTACTGTTTGTCATCCCAAACTTGGACTGCAGCAGGGAGGACCCCGAAAATGTGAATGTCGTATCCCAGCCAAGAAAAGTCTGCTTCTGTAAAATAGTTCATTACCTTATAAAACATAGTGGGTTCTGAACTTATGTCAAGCACTTCGGAATGGAGGCTTCCACTGTGCATAAACAAAGATAGGACAACAACCTCTAGTATCTGCTACATCACAGCAACCTCTGTCTACATCAGTACCTCCATCACCTCTTATCTTATCTGGTAAATGACACCAGTGTACCTGATATGCACGATAACGATGATTTTGCATCTCTAGACCCATCAAAGAAGAAAAGATGCATTGAAACTCACCAAAAATTTGTGGATGTACCGGAGAGCTTCAATGTAAGTAAATCACCATCATTTTGACTGCTATGCATACTCATGACACCATTAAACCTAAGCTGATATTGATGTCCAGCCTATTGAACTAGAAGTGACCATCAGCCTTTCTTCAATGACAGTCATGAGCCTTTAATCAACAACAATAGTCAGCACAATAATAAGCCTGGTGATAAGTTTCAAGGAGCAGACCAGGACTTGAGCTCAGCACATGAAAACTTTGAAGATGTGGGGGAGGGTGGGCCTCAGATGCGAACTATGGGTTGGACAGATGAAGATTTAGAAGAGCTACACCACATGGCTTGACTCAAAGATGCTCAAGACACTTTATCATTGATTACAGCACTCTGAAAAGCTTTGCTCAATGGCCCTTGCACACATCTTTCTCCAGATGCAATTGATTATCTTTGTAACCCTCCTTGTGAACTTCCAGACACCACAGATTCTGATCTCATTCTCTTGCTCAAATACTACATTGCAGATTAAGGCAACCATGCAGCACCATCCAGAAGACTATATCTATAGCCATTACTACATCAAATGTGTAGTCACAGAACTGATTGGAGTCATTCTGATTACTCATGATATGTGCATCAATACATGTTTTGCCTTCATGGGGCCATTTGCTGAGTTCAACGTGTCCCTGATGTGGAGAACATCACTGGGACATGAAAAAAAGCACTCTAGTGAAACAGGTGGCTTGTCAGATCTTTGATACTTTTCCTGTTGGTCTCCAACTTCAAGCTCTTTGACATCACCCTGACCACACAGAGAAGATATAATGACATGATGAATGCACTCAAAAGATTCTTGAAGGGCTTGGGATCACAGGAGGTACCTCTGATCTATACAAAGATATCCTTCACGGGAAACAGTACCTAGAGGCATACCAATTGGGCAAAATCAAGAAGAGGGATTTTGTACTATGCTCTCTATTGATGGCACTCAACTCTATGAATCAAAGCAATCTAATTGTTGGGTATATATTTGGGTCCTATTCGACCATGCATCAGATGAACGCTACCAGAAGAAATATGTTCTCCCTGGAGGTATTATTTCTGGCCCTCAAAAACCTTGATTCATTCATGTTTCCTGGTCTCCATCACTTACGTACTATCCAGACTGAAGGCCTTGTCATTTGGGATGGTGCATATGAGATCTCATTTACATCACACCCTTTCCTCTTTGTAGCAACTGCTGACAGCCCTGGAATGGTGTTTTTGACTGGCTCAATTGGTCACCATGGCAAAATGGGCTATCACCTATACTGCAGGCTTCCTGGGCGACACAAGGCTGGTGGCCCAACCTACTATCCAGCTCTTCTATGGCCACATGGAGGTGATGCTCATCC